GGCCCAAGAAAATACCCTACTGCCAAAAATGAAGGCATAGCAAGAAGTGCTTCTGCTATCATCTTCACTGCCTGCCCAATCTGCATCACAGAACCCAATAAGAATTGCAGACTTGTCTTTCACATATTCAATACCATAGTTTAGGGTCCCTTTCACATATCTCAGTACCCTTCTCGCAACTCCCAGGTGCTTCTTAGTTGGTCCATTCATAAACCTTGATAACAGACTTGCAGCGTACATAAGGTCAGGTCTAGTTGCTGTTAAGTACAGCAAGCTTCCAACTATTTTTCTGTAAAGCCCTTCATCTGCCAACTCACTCTCATCCACCTTTTTGAGTTTTTCACCAGTAGATAAGGGAATAGACACAGGTTTGCAGTCTTCAAGCCCAAATTTCTCAAGTAGAGATTTGGCATACTTACTTTGGTGAATAAATACACCTTGATCAGTTTGTAATATCCCCATACCAAGGAAGTGATGCAGGAGACCAAGATCTGACATTTCATATTTCTGCATCATCTCCTTTTTGAACTCACAAATCATCTTGTCACTGCTGCCAGTATAGATAATGTCATCAACATATATTGAGACAATTATCAACCCTCCTTCATCATCAGATCTTGTGTATAGGGTGGCTTCACTTGTACTTCTTTTGAATTTACACAGAGAGAGATAAGCATCAATTTCACTGTACCAGGCTCTAGGTGCCTGTTTAAGTCCATATAAGGCCTTCCTTAACTTGTAGACTTTTTTACTTGCATTTCCCAACTCAAAACCTTCAGGCTGCTCAACATACACTTCTTCATCAAGCACACCATTCAGAAACGCAGATTTAACATCCAGTTGAAACAGCTTCCATCCCTTTTGTGCTGCTAAGGCAATGAGAGTTCGAATTGTGTCTAATCTTGCCACAGGTGCAAAAGTTTCATTGTAGTCAATCCCTGGTTTCTGTGCATACCCCTTTGCTACAAGTCTGGCTTTGTGTTTTTGAACTGTTCCATCCAGATTCAATTTTGTTTTAAACACCCATTTCACACCTATAACAGGTTTATCAACAGGTCTCTCAACAAGTTCCCAAGTATTGTTCTTCTCAATCATTTCCAATTCTGCATTCATAGCTTCTTGCCAAGCTAAATCACTTGCTGCTTCTGGATAAGTCTCAGGTTCTATAATGCACATGTGACACCTTGCATATATATCTTCTAGAGTTTTCAACTTCACAGGAGTGGAGCTTGGTGTGGAGCCTTGACTGTGATTTTCACCATTGTTCTCAACTGACTCATGAACAACAGTGTTTGAATGAGAACTTCCAGCACTGTTATACTACACATCATCAGTTTGTTCCTCTCTACCTTCTTCTTCATAGTCAAATCCTTCAAGGTTGAAATGAGTTGAAGTAGGCTCCACTTGATCAATTTTCCAATTCCATGACTGTTTTTCACTGAAAATTACACTTCTTGAGAGTACTATCTTTTTAGATTGTAGATCATATACTTTATATCCTTTTTCACAGCTCTCATATCCCATGAATACTCATTTCCTGGACTTTTCATCAAACTTGTGTCTCAGATGTGAAGAAACATGAGTATAGCATACACAGCCAAAAACTTTCAGGTGCTTGATTCCAGGCTTTCTACCTGTGAATGCTTCAAAAGGAGTTTTGTCTAGAACAGATGTTGTATAACATCTATTTTGAAGGTACACTGCTGTGCTTACAGCTTCTGCCCAGAATTTTATAGGCATTCCTTTCTCAACCATCATAGACCTTGCCATTTCACCAATCGATCTATTCTTCCTCTCAACAACTCCATTCTGCTGAGGAGAGTAGGCAATAGTCAGTTGACTCTCCATTCCCATGCTTGCACAGTAGTCTAGAAACTCATTTGAGGTGTATTCACCACCTCTATCACTCCTTAGCTTCTTTAAATTGAATCCACTCTGCAGTTCAACAAAAACTTTGAATTTCTTGAACACATTGAAGGTATCAAATTTGTTTCTGAGAAAGTATACCCAACACATTCTTGAGAAATCATCAATGAATGTGATGAAGTATCTATTTCCTGCAATGGACTCATTTTGCATAGGTCCACACAAATCTGTATGCACTAATTCAAGTGGGCAGCTTGCTCTCCATGCTTTTCCTTTGTCAAAGGATTCTCTGTGATGTTTGCCTGATACACAACCTTCACACACATCTCTCATTTCTGTCCAAACAGGTAGTCCAACCACCATTTCCTTCTGCTGCATCTTCTTCATATTGTTAAAGTTCAAATGTCCAAGTCTTCTGTGCCATATCCATGAATCTTCAACCATAGAAGCTTTCCTTGCTGCAGGAGTTATGGATTCTAGTGAGAGAGGAAAACATCGATTTCCTGCCATGATCACCTTTGCTACAACATTGTTAAGACTGTTATCATCAAAGATCACTGCCATATTACCCCCAAATAGGACATAGTAGCCATGCTCCATCATTTAACCTACACTTAGTAAGTTTTCATCCAAGCCAGGAACCAGCAATACTTCATTTATATATCTTTTCCCACGCTGAGTTTCAACCACTAAAGTGCCTTTTCCAATTGCTTGTACAAGATCACCAGTGCCCATTTTAACTTTACAAGTCACAGATTTGTCAAGATTTATTAAGGTAGACTCTTGAGATGTCATGTGGTTGCTGCAAGCACTGTCCACAAACCACACACTTCTATCTTGCACAGTTGATGAGTGACAGGCATAAAACATGGTTCCTGTAGTTACTTCTTCTTCCTTTGCACAGTGAGCAACTTGCTTGTGACCATCACAGTCCTTTGCAATATGACCAAAACGATTGCACTTTCCACATTTTGGTTTTCCTTTGTATCTGCACACACCAAAATGAAATTTCTGGCACACTTGACACTGTGGTTTCACAGAACTTTGACTACTGCTCCCTTACTTGTTCTGTGAATTGAATCTGTTGTTCCAATTACTTCCTGGATTGTTGTTCCAGCTTCCACTCGGAGACCAGTTTGATCCCTTATTGTTTTTTCCCTGCCACTTTTGATTTGGCCTACTCTGAGAACCTTTGTAAGTGCCTGTGACCTGATTGTTTCCAACTCTGAGACTACTAAAAGCCCTCTCAGTTCCTGTCAATCTATCCTTTTCATCATGTAAGTCTTCCCTTTTATCATATACTTTGACAGATGCAATAACTTCTTCCACTCTAATAGCATCCAGATCTCGACTTTCCTCAATAATAGACACAATGGATTTATATCTCCTACTTAGACTCATCAATAATTTCTGCACAATTCTTTGTTCAGTCACATCTTCACCAAGAGACTTCAGATTATTCACAATTCCAAAAAACCTACCCAAATAGTCATCTAGGTTTTCACTATCTGTCATTCTCATATATTCAAAGTCAGCCCTAACTGCTTGAAGTTTCACAGCTCTTACCTTTTTATCTCCTCTGAACTCTCTTCTCAGAATGTCCCAAGCCCCTTTTGCAGTCTTCTCATTTCTGATACGAGGAAAAAGCTCATCTATTATAGCTCTTTGTATAAGACTCAACGCCTTGGCGTTTTTGATTATGTCTTCTCTGGAGATGGTTAGTGGTTCCACTGGAATTTGCTCAGCCTCGCTACCCTCCTCTCCAGAACCTTCTTTCTCTTCAGAAATCTGCTGAACTTGTACACCGAGTTCCACTACATCCCATAGATCATGCGCTATGAGGATAATTTCCATCTTGACAGCCCAAAAATCATAGTTTGCACCATCGAACTGTGGAGTTCGTAAGTCTCCACTGGAAGAACCTGATCCCACCATTTTCTTAGTGAGTATCAGTGAATCAACCAATAAAGGAACCATCTTTATCCCTTCTGGGATTTTTTTTTTAAGGAGGAACCTTTCTCACAGCTTTACTCCCTTCTTCGGAATCAGACCAGAAGCTCTGATGCCATGTTTGAAATGGTACCAGGCATGATTTTGAATAAATAACTTCGTTAAAGATTGAATCTTGAATAATAGTTTTTTAGAAAGAACTGAAGTTCTTCGAGAGAGAGAGAGTTGAGAAGTCAAGAGTCTGTGTTTTTTCATTACAGCCGAAAACATAAAACTTTACAAGGACTATATCAGACCTTTTCAGATCACAAAACAGAACCTACACTCTAGAGACCTAGGTACTCTTCTCCAACCATTAATTGACATTGGAGGATATCATCCATCCACTTGGAAGAAGATGGGAAACACAGTACAATTAAAAACCAAATAAGAACCCAGCTGTAAGAGTTCTAAAAACAGAAACTTAGCCGTTGCACATTTTGAACCAAACGGCTACTGGCTAAAAATAGCAAGTTCTTCACCTCTTCGATTTCAGAGTTCTCTTCACTTCTTTCTGCAGGATTGTCATCTGCAGTTCGACATTAAGCTTGTATGCAGCTTACATCTCAACAAAATGGGGGGTGGGTTTGGGTTTTAATCCCTTTTTCTAATGAATGAAAAGATGAAGAATTTGACCAAGGAAGAATTCGTGCACATTAGGTCGGCAGAGCACCGGCTTCTTTGCGGGCCAGCTCCAGATATACAGGGGTTACACCGCACAAATGTGGTAGATCGGAAACTCGAATGGGTAGTTCCTCTGGAAAAAAAATAAAAAATAAAATAAAATAAGTGAGGGATCATTTTTATGGAGTTTTCAATTTTGTACTGTATGGTTTGGGTCTAGACCACATAAGCACACTGGCTGTTGGTTTGGACTTTGAACTAAGAATTGATGCAATTTTGGATTCTTAATTTCTTATGGATAACCCAATAGAATTAATACTGAAAATTTACCAATGGATAACACTTCAAAGTTGATTGTATAATATAGTTGTCCTTACTCTATAATAATTTTCAGTTTTCGTATAAAGTTTGTTACTTTGAAGTATACTTATATAGTACTTTCTCTTATATATGATTCGTATAATCAAGTTTTTTGCACGTGCAACAATCTGATTGTCTTCAACATGTGAGAATGACTGTAAGGGTGCATTACTCTTTGTAACCCAACTAATATACTATTTTGTATATCTTTTGCAAACAATGAGTTGACATTCGAAGTGATTGAGAAATCTTGGTGGGCTTAATCAATAATAATTTTAATTTTTTAGTATAATTTCTGTTACTCAAAGTATATGCGTAGAGTATTTCTTCTTATATATGATTGGTACAATTATGTTTGAACATCTCTCAATATGAGTATGAGCTCATTATTGTGCATGGTTATTCGGTTATACCAAAACAATACACTTTCTTTCTATGTTTTTATGAACGGGGAGTTGAGTGCAAGTTTTTATGAACTGTAGTATACTGTATTTTGTTTTTATTTTGCATATGGATCTTATCATGTTCATCTCAATATTAAATGAAATTTCTACCCTTGCCAAGCATGGTGTTCACAAATAGTCGTACTCGATGGTTTTTCTTGTTATTTCCAGGTATAATTCCCACTTCTCTCTGCCTCCTTCCCCACTCCTTGCTCCTGTTGTGACTGATTTCCTAAGATGGTTTGTCAAGGAGAAAGTTCGTGAACGAAAGAAATCTAATTGAGAGGTATTTTCTTTTTTTTTGAAAGATATCAATTATATTTGGGTGTTTAAACATATTGTCTAAAAGTATACTCTGTTTTTTTTGTCATCGTAACTTTTAAATTTCACATTCCTATTCTGTACTTTATAGGCCAAGGAGGCCCGAAGAAAATCCATTGAAAAATGAGTGATGAAGCTAAAGCAACATTTGAAAGTTTGAGGAATTACTAAAGTTAAGTAAGAATTATAGTTTAATAAGATGGGTATGTTTCACAATCTAAAGACACATCGAGAATACGAAATATGATAGGCTATCGATAAAGCATGGCTTGAAAGAAGGAAAAAATTCATGCAGACAATTATGGGGTAAGCATCCACAAAGAGTTTTTGGTATGCCAAATTATGGAGTCTATGTTTTTGTGTTTGCACATTCCATATCCAAGCGGATTTAACGTTTTAGCATGTGGCAATTTGAAGTCTGTATCTTCGTATCTAAAGTCTTTGTGTCTTCATAAATTTTGGTTCTCACTTCTCTACATATAATCCAAATTGTGACATGACTGTATATAGCGCTCATAGTTGATCTAGCTATCAAGAATTTTGGTTCATCCAATTTCATTTGACTCTATATATTCCTAATTTCATGAATTAAACTTGCCATGCCGTCCATCTTGGAGTAAGACTCGAATTATGATTCAATTATAACAACATATTACCACTTTTTTTAGTTCTTTGGTCATCCTTTATATAGTGAACGAAGCTTCAATTAGTTCTACCAAACAAGCCACAAATTCTTTCTGGTAATTGAGATTAGTCTCTGATTGTTTGATCATTCTCTATATATCTGATGAAGCTTCAGCTAGCTTATACCAGAGAACCCCTGATTTCTTTATGGTAATAGAGCTTCGTCTCTGGTTGTTTATTGTCTGATTAGATTATTATAATTTTTGGGTTGTTGGATATGTTGGGTTTGAATTGATTTTTTGTTTTCGTTTTTTAGAGTGATAGATTTTCGAATGAAATGCACTCAACGGATTCCAGTGGGGTTGGCTGAAGCAGCTGCCGCATATGACAAATGGCAGCCAAGGTTCCCTAAATTGCCATGCTTTTAGTTTTAGGAAATATGACAAGTTGATATAAATAAATAAATAAATATATATATATGTGTGTGTGTGTGTAGAAAACTTACATCTCGTGATAGATTGTGTTGCTAGATAGTTTTTCACGTTCCTAACCAAAATAAAGTTTATCATGCTATTCCGTCCAACTATTGATTTGTAACAACCTTATGTAAATACTTTTTACACACCATTTTTATAACACATTTAGTCTTGTATTTGAAGACTTAAATACAATACTCCTAGTTTCATATCTAAACTAAACACTTATTGCTTCTCTATGAAGTCTTGATAAAATTTTCAGCCATGAAATTCGTTAGAAATGTTCGGTGAAAAATATGAGTTGAATTACGCATAATCCTTTTGAACACTAATGTGCACTCAATTGTGTTGTCTTACACATAATTTACCGAAAATTATCTCATGCCTTGTGACTTATGTTTTCTCCTTCTATCGTCTCTTTTCTTTTTAGCTATGCAATGTTGCTTGACAATCGATATTGTCTATTTTTAATATTATTAAACGGTTCATATCATTAAGCAATTACATCGTACTTCGAATTTCTTTTTCCAAGTTTAGATTTTAAACTCTAATTAATGAAAAACTAGTCTTTATGCACGCGCTCATGCGAGTGCAGAAGATATTTTTTGAATCACGGCACATTATGCGTGACTTGTACGTTTTAAATATATTTATATGCGTAAATTGACAAAAGAAAAGTCAAATATTTGAAGTAAATGAATAATCTTAGATCATGCTAGAAGAAACCCCTCATAAATCAATTAAAGCAGTTGAATTCACATAATAAAATCATTCTCTATTGAATTTATATTAAGAATAGAGAAAATAATATTTAATAAACAACTGATTGAATCATATTATTGCTAGCCAATTGTGAGGGTAAGCCCACCTCCTCCCCTTTAGTGTAGATAATATCGTTTGTTCAAAAAAAAAACAAAAACAAATAAACAACTGATTGAATCACATTATTACTATCGCATTGTGAGGCTCAACTCACCCCCTCCCCCTTAGTGTAGATAATATCATTTGTTAAAAAAAAAATGATTTGACAACAAATTTAATCACATTATTATCCGCGTGCGAAAAATCTTTTCTATAACTAGCATTACAGCCTCTTAAGATGAAAATTTCATTATTCCAACTTGGAACATGCCACTCTTGTTTCTTAAAGACTTAAAAAGTAAATTGTACAATTTTTCCTCTATTTATGTCCTGTGTCAATCAGTACCCCACCATTTAGACAACCATTTTTCTAATTATTACATTTTTTGTTAATTTTAAATAAATGTCTCACTCCATAACTTCAAGACCGTTCTTCAAATCAACGTAACATATCTGTCACATCCCGGCCCGGGGGGAACCACTTCCCGGGCCCGCTCCACCACCGTAGCACGATATTGTCCGTTTTGGGCCCCGACCACGCCCTCACGGTTTTGTTTCTGGGAACTCACACGAGAACTTCCCGATGGGTCACCCATCTTGGGAATGTTCTCGCGCGCTACTCGCTTAACTTCGGAGTTCCTACGGAACCCGAAGCCAGTGAGCTCCCAAAAGGCCTCGTGCTAGGTAGGGATGGGAATATACATTTAAGGATCACTCCCCTAGGCGATGTGGGATGTCACAATCCACCCCTCTTAGGGGCCCGACGTCCTCGTCGGCACACCACGGCCAGGGTTAGGCTCTGATACCAAATTGTCACATCCCCGCCCGGGGTGGATCACTTCCCGGGCCCGCTCCACCACCGTAGCACGATATTGTCCACTTTGGGCTTACCATTCCCTCACGGTTTTGTTTTTGGGAACTCACACGAGAACTTCCCGATGGGTCATCCATCCTGGGAATGCTCTCGCGCGCTACTAGCTTAACTTCGGAGTTCCTACGGAACCCGAAGCCAGTGAGCTGCCAAAAGGCCTCGTGCTAGGTAAGGATGGGAATATACATTTAAGAATCACTCCCCTGGGCGATGTGGGATGTCACAATATCAATCAAGATCCTCATATATATAAATGGTTGATTTTTCAAACTTGCTGAAATTTGATTAGTTCAACTTTCTCATCTTTTGAAATTTCTATGGAAGACTCCGGATGCCAACAAATCTTTTGGTATAGCCAATTGATACGACAATCTTCATTCTTAACTTATATTGTTTACGTGTTGACTGTTGGGTATCCCAGATTCATGAAGTTTCTTGATTCACCAAGCACCCACGCACGTCCAACTACAACCAAACTATTGTGTTTAGTTTATGATTCACTAGCCTTCATGCACGCGCTCACGTGCGTGCATAAAACATTTTTTGAATCACGGCATGCTACACTTGACTTACACATTTTAAATGTATTTATATGCGTAAATTGACAAAAGAAAAGTCAAATATTTGAAGTAAATAAATAATCTTTGATCATGCTAGAAGAAACCCCTCATAAATCAATTAAAGTAGATGAATCCACATATGAAATTGGTCTCTATTGAATTTATATTAAGAATAGAGAAAATAATATTTAACAAACAATTGATTGAATCACATTATTACTAGCCCATTGTGAGACTAAGTCCACTCTCATTTCCCCTTAGTATAGATAATATCGTTTGTTCAAAAAAAAAAAAAACAAATAAACAACTGATTGAATCACATTATTGCTAACCCACCCCCTCTTCCTTAACGTATAATATCATTTGTAAAAAAAAAAAAAAACAATCATTTGACAACTAATTTAATTACATTATTATCTGCATACAAAAGACTTTTTTTTTATAACTCGCATTACAGCATCTTAAGATGCAAATTGCATTATCCCAACTTGGAACCTGCCACTCTTGTTCCTTAAAGACTTAAAAAGTAAACTGTTTGATTTTTCCACTATTTTAGGTCATGTGTCAATGAGTACCCCACCATTTAGACAACCATTTGTCTAATTATTACATTTTTTTTGTTAATTTGAAATGAATGTCTCACTCCATAACTTCAAGACCGTTCTTCAAATCAACGTAACACATCAATCAGGATCCTCATATATATAAATAGTTGATTTTTTAAACTTGTTGAAATTTGATTAGTTCAACTTTCTCATCTTTTGAAATTTCTATGGAAGAATAATCCTTTGGATGCCAAAAATCTTTTGGTATAGCCAACTGATACGACAATCTTCATTCCTAACTTATATTGTATGCGTGTTGACTGTTGGGTATCCCATATCCATGAAGTTTCTTGATTAGGAAAACTAATAAAAATGGCTTGAAAACTTTGAGTTTTAATCAAAATGACAAAAAGGTGTTGTGAGTGAATAGTACCAGGAGTGAATTTTTAGAGTAAAATTGTCATTTTTCGTTAAAGTGAACAATACCGGGAGTGTTTCATTAAAACTTCCTTCTTGATTCACCAAGCACCCACGCACATCCAACTACAACCAAACTATTGTGTTTAGTTTATGATTCACTAGCCTTCATGCACATGCTCACGAGTGTGCATAATGCATTTTTTGAATCACGGCATGCTACGCATAACTTACATGTTTTAAATGTATTTATATGCGTAAATTGACAAAAGAAAAGTCAAATATTTGAAGTAAATGAATAATCTTAGATCATGCTAGAAGAAACCCCTCATAAATCAATTAAAGCAGCTGAATCCACATAATAAAATCGATCTCTATTGAATTTATATTAAGAATAGAGAAAATAATATTTAATAAACAATTGATTGAATCACATTATTGCTAGCCTATTGTGAGATACTGATTATTTGAAGAAAAAAAAATTGTCCAAAAGAATATTAATTATTAAATAACATTGTTAAAATGACGAAAATACTCCTACCACATTTGATGCATTATTTTAGGAGCATTTTTGTCCACTTATTTTTAGTGATGCTTGTGACCCCTAAAACACTATTCACTTTAGGCTTGGCTTTTTATATAGAGATGAAATTGAAAGTTGAATACAAGAAGGCAAACGTGTCCTTAACAAACTTAGAAATAAAATAACCCACATCTCCATCCTCATTGCAGAAGGAGAGTCCAATGGAAAAAGTTGCTTAGCTTCCTCAAACCCTTTTCCTCGAGTTTGGTTGTGCCATTTGATTATTATTTTAATTTAGGTAAGAAATTAACTTAGCTCCTCAATAGATGAGATTAAGGAGGAGTTTCTTCTCAACATACTTTGTTACTGATTTACAAAACTTCGTGCACTTGGTGAAAACCGTTCATATTATAAATCACACTATAAAGATTTTATATTTTATTATTATTATTATTTTGTAGTTATGACCTTTATAATATGATTTACCTTATACACGATTTCGATTATATGCATGAAGTTTCGTAAATCGGTATAACAAAGCATATTAAGGAATTACTCCTTCTCAATCTTAAGGAGTCAAGCTTTCCTCTTTAATGTGATTCAAATGCCATACATAAAACATGTGGATACCACCAAAAAAGAAAATTTGAAATTTTAAAGGGCAATAACAATTCTCTGTTAATAACCCTATTTATCATTTCTCCGGAAAAAATTAATCAAAATCATTCATTACTCCAGCAAATGTCCAACCCTCCCCCCAAACCTCAAAGCAATCCCAAATGGTTCACCACTCTCAAAAGACCAATTTTATTTTCTTTCTTCCCGTTGCTTCTGCTCGACATTGTATTCAATGCACGACGGTGCTCGCTTGTTGCTCAACGATCGTAATTGCCGCAGTGAATCAGAGAGTCAGAGCTCATTGCCCGCCATTTTCTTCATCCTCTGCCCCTCCATCAAGGTTAGTCGGTCATAAGTTGATTTGAACTCTCGAATCAATCCAAGAATTTAACTCCAGAAAACCCAATTCAATGGACAAATTCCTAATTCGTCAGTTTTCGAGTTTGCCCAATTCGATTCCTGACCCTTGCCGAGCCATTTGCCTGGGCAACGGCCACAAAGAACGGAAATTATAACAAAATGTGTAAAATTTCATGTCACACCAAAAAATAAAATCCATTATTTTTGTTGAAACATGACAGGTATTAACCTGGGAAATGACTCCAGTTTTGACATTGATGGGCCGAGGAGTCGATCTTTTTCGGCCATTAGAACGAATGTTCTGAGCAAAGCCACCCTGTATAAAATGTTTTTCTCCCATGGATAGTCCCACCATTTCTGAACATATGATATGAAAAATCATTTCTGATCTAATTAACTTCATAAATATCAAGAAAAAATAATTATTGCAGCAACATAAAAATAATAAAAGCAATAAATTAAAAACTAAAAATAAAGGCAGCAATCCTAAGCGCTCATATTTCACAGAGAAACTCTACAATTTGCTCAATCAACGTAAACAAATAGCTCAACGTAAAGTGAAGATACGTTAATCGTACGGTGAAGATGTGAAGATATGTTAATCGTAAATGAGAGACAAGTAAGTTCTCCCATGAGGCGAACACAAATATTATCCAAAATGTTGGAATTTTGTTGAGTATTTCAAAATACAAATTCATTGCAACCGTTTATATTCCTCCCATTCACTATGCCATATTATTGTTTTTTATTTGATATTATTGCATGGTCGTTTCATCACTTATAGTCTTATTTCTAGCTAGCCACCTCATTTCATTCATATTATAATTGAGAGTTAAATGAGGGAGTTATACATTGAAAAGTACCATCTTGATTAACCCATTAATTGGGTAATTATATAGTCTAACGTTTTAGCCCATTTTGTTTTCATATAAATATATTCTCATCTATTCCTTTCCCAAACCAAAAAAAAAAAAAAAACACCGCTGTAGCCATCCTTTTATCCATTATTGAATCATGACTCTTCAAAGTGATATATCCTTCAAAAGTTTTACATACCAAAGGAAAGAATCAAGTTGTTTACTCGATCTAAGTATTGCGTGTGTATACTTCCGAGGATTATAGGTTGTTGTATGATGGAGGGTAGGGCGCTATAACCTGTTACACCAAGACATTGTCTTAGATGGGCAAAAGCAACTCTTAAGGACAGTAAATTTACACACCTCAACCTCAAATCTTGTTATAATCAGTGATCAATGAAGAGAGTTCTCTACCTACAAGAGATAAGTATTTTATCATATTTGGTTCATTATATTTAATAAATTGTGGTAATAAAATTGTGATATATTAAAATTAATTTTATGTGATTTGTTGTAGAAGAAGTAGCATCCCAATCGCCAATATTTCCATCACAAAAAACTTTATGCCAACATTTACGTCCCCCACTTGAGAGATAGCTCATTCTCCCACTTACAAATAAAGTATCTTTCACTGGAGAATTTTTTAATTAGAATCATTCAATTTCTTAATCTTCATTTGAAGATTTTTTGTGGAGATATTTTGTAAATGAAGATTAAGAAATTGAAAGATTCCAATTATAATATTTATCTATTTGTAAGTGGGAAAATAATCTCATCCCAAAAAAGTGAACACAAGTATTATTCTTCACAAAACAAACCCAGAAAAATAAGGGGATGGGATGGGTGATGAGTCATTGAGTGGTGACAAAAAAGAAATGAAAAAGAAAACCAAATAAGGTGACGATGAAGCCAATAAAATGCCGATCTCGATCACTTGAAAACTTAGAAGTCATATGAGTCGTTTGCAAGTAAACATCTCTAGCTAGCCTACAAGAGTCTACCATTAGCTAGTCTACAAGAGTTTACCATTAGTTAGGCGACAAGTAAACATCTCTAGTTGTTGTTACTTGTTGGCGTCGCGTATCAGCCAATTGTTCTCAGTTGAAGTCAAGCTATTAAGGCCAAATTTGTCTTGTCCCACATGATAAGGCATCGCCAATTAGTAATTATCACTCATGTTCTTGTCAAGATAAATACTGAAAGTGACATCAAGAAAATATAGAAATTGCATTCATAATTCAATAATACAAAGGACCAACACAAGGGTTACATCAATAGCATCCAAAAATCTAGAGTTTCTCCGGCCACGGTAATAAAGGGCTAAAGCCCCATCGAAACCCGAAATTACGTACTCCTTTGATGGACAACAATTACTCGTCCCTTCTTCTTACGTCCAAGATGCCACCATTGGATAAACAAAAGAATCTGCAGGAGCAGACTTGTTAATTGCAAAACCATTCCTTGGATTGCAACAAGGCAGAGCACTTATCCATGGAGTCAAGTCGATTATTGTACATCCGTATGGTTGAAACAGTCGAGCTAGCTAGTGGGTTTAATTCTGTGTTTATCACGCTAACTTCTATCGGCGTAAGTATTTTCATTCGATCAGTCATCAATCGATTATCACCAGAAATATTTTAGTCATGCTCAACATGCATTCGAGTCTTACAAATTGTTTTCTGTCCATTTTCAGTGCTTATTTTTGGTTGCCAAACAAAATGTAGATTATGCCAACAAAATTTTAATTTTGAGATATGATACAAACGTCCCTACTTTGCCTCTAATATTTTACAAACACTAAGCCATTTATAAAGTTTGGAAGAAAAAAAAAGTTACATTATACATGTTTGATTTCCATACACTAGCTTTCATGCACGTGCATAAGGCATTTTTTGAATCATGCTACGTGTGACTTACACGTTTTAAATGTATTTATATGCGTAAAGTGACAAAAGAAAAGTCAAATATTTGAAGTAAATGAATAAATCATAGATCATGCTAGAAGAAACCCCTCATAAATCAATTAAAACAGTTGAATCCACATAATAAAATCAGTCTCTATTGAATTTATATTAAGAATAGAGAAAATAATATTAAATAAACAACTGAATCAGTTGAGTTAGCTAGTGGGTTTAATTCCATGTTTATCACGCTAACATCTATCTGAGTAAACAAATTTTAATTTTGAGATATGATACAAACGTCCCTAATTTGTCTGTAATATTTTTACAGACACTAAGCCATCTATAAAGTTCGGAAGAAAAAAAAAAGTTACATTATACATGTCTAATTTCAATCATACATGTAGTGCTCACATATGTACATGTGTTATATATTACAAACACATGTTATATTATTTTGCTTATGATGAAGTGCCGATTTAGTGAACTATCACTTTAGTGAAAAATTTAGTCCGTGGATTATTATTTTGGTAAAATAAGCCTCTAAATTTATTAAAAATTGTTCAACTTGCTTTAATATCATGAAAAAAGTTGGAGTTCCACCATAAAACCAATTGGCAATATGGGGAGTTGCTCAACCTCTTATAAACTTAGGCAAGGTTATTCCTTCCATCAATGTGGGACTCTTTATCAACAATTATCATCTCAACAAAATGTTAAATAACTGGATGTGGACCTTCTTTCTATAATATTTCGTGCTCAATATGCATCAGTGTGTCCCTCCACAAGAAAATGATTATGTTTCGTGAACATAAACCCTTGCATTTGGAGTTGCCTTCAAGTGTCGAAGAATTCAAATTAGGACATTTATCTGATCTTCACTAGGAGCATGCTCAACATGCTCACCACACTCACATCTCATGTGCAATGTCAGGTCATGTGTGTGACAAAGTAAATTAACTACCCTCCAACTTATAGTACCGCTCTTTGCTTGTTGGAACGTGATCGGGATATTCTCCTTTATGTTTATTAATCTACAGAATTGTAAAATTTGCAGGCTTGCAATCGAGGATTTTAGTTTTTATTTTACAAGTCTACTAGATATTTCCTTTGTAATAGAAATAGACCCTGCTTACATCGAGCCACACCTTCCTTATACATATCTTAAATTTAATGAAAATTTTAGTTTCTGATTATAATAAAAGTTGGAAATGCTTGTGTTTTGTCATAAAGAAACCTACTTGTGAGAATCCACAAGAAGAACGAACCAGGAGACAATGACTTTTGGGGTTATAAAAAAGGATAGGTGCAGAGACTCAATGGAAGTTGTTCTAACAAATGGCGTCAATCAATCTATCACAGGACAATCTGTCATTGTCTGATTTCTGGTTGTCTGATAATGGCTTATAGAAAGAATTTACCTTGGTATGACCTTATCTTCTCCAATAAAAAGTCAAGGATAGGCTTGCATTCCAGAAGCGGTAGCTTCCCGCCTCCATTCCTACCCCCGTATCTTCACTTTACAAACATCATAATCCGACACCGTTTATTCTCTTTATTATCATCTAAAAATCATACATACAAAACATCATTCAATTCACAGATCTTTTAACTATTCATATGCATAAAATAAATAATAAATAGTTCATTATGAGGATGTTATTTGTTACCAAAATCGTTAATTGGTTTGCCATGAATGAATGATTAAAAGATCTCTGAATTGAAGGACTTGTTGCATATATGATTATGATAAAGAGAATGAAAGGTTCCGATTATGATGTTCGTACGGTGAAGATGTGAAGATACGTTAATCGTAAATAAGGGACAAGTAAGTTCTTCCATGGGTCGAACACAAATATTATCCAAAATGTTGGAATTTTGTTGAGTATTTCAAAATACAAATTCATTGCAACGGTTTCTTTTCCTCCCATTCACTATGCCATATTATTGTTTTTTATTTGATATTATTGCATGGTCGTTTCATCACTTATAGTCTTATTTCTAGCTAGCCAACTCATTTCATTCATATTATAATTGAGAGTTAAATGAGGGAGTTATAAATTGTGAAGTGCCATCTTGATTAACCCATTAATTGGGTAATTATATAGTCTTAACGTTTTAGACCATTTGGTTTTCAAATAAATATATTCTCATCTATTCCTTCCCCCCCCCCCAAAAAAAAAAAAAAAAAAAATCACCGCTGAAGCCATCCCTTTACCCATTATTGAATCATCACTCTTCAAAGTGATATCCTTCGAGTTGTTGACTCGATCTAAGTATTACGTGTGTATGTTTACAAGGATCATAGATTGTTGTATGATGGAGGGTAGGGCGGTACAACCTGTTACACCAAGACATTGTCTTAGATGGGCAAAATCAACTCTTAAGGACAGTGAATTTACATGCCTCAACCTAAAATCTTGTCCTAATTAGTGATCGATGAAGAGAGTTCTCTACCTACAAGAGATAAGTATTTTATCATATTTGGTTTATTATATTTAATAAATTGTGGTGATAAAATTGTGATATACAAATATTAATTTTATGTGATTTGTTGTAGGAGAAGTAGCATCCGAATCGCCAATATTTCCATCACAAAAAACTTTATGGCAACACTTATGTCCCCCACTTGAGAGATAGCTCATTGTCCCACTTACAAATAAAGTATCTTTTACTGCAGAAATTTCATAATCAGAATCGTTCAATTTCTTAATCTTCATTTGAAGATTTTTTGTGGAGATGTTTCGTAAATGAAGATTAAGAAATTGAAAGATTCCAATTATAATATTATCTATCTGTAAGTGGGAAAACAATCTCATCTCAAAAAAGAGAACACAAATATTATTCTTCACAAAACAAACCCAGAAAAATATGGGGATGGGTGATGAGTCATTAAGTGGTGACAAAAAAGAAATGAAAAAGAAAACCAAATAAGGAGACGATGAAGCCAATAAAATGCCGATCTCGATCACTTGAAAACTTAAAAGTCATACGAGTCGCTTGCAAGTAAACATCTCTAGCTAGCCTACAAGAGTCTGCCATTAACTGGTCTACAAGAGTTTACCATTAGTTAGCCGACAAGTAAACATCTCTAGTTGTTGTTACTTGTTGGCGTCGCGTATCAGCCAATTGTTCTCAGTTGAAGTCAAGCTATTAAGGCCAAATTTGTCTTGTCCCACATGATAAGGCATCGCCAATTAGTAATTACCATTCATGTTCTTGTCAAGATAAATACTGAAAGTGACATTAAGAAAATATAGAAATTGCATTCATAATTCAATAATACAAAGGACCAACACAAGGGTTACATCAATAGCATCCAAAAATCTAGAGTTTCTCCGGCCACAGTAACAAAGGGCTAAAGCCCCATCGAAACCCGAAATTACGTACTCCTTTGATGGACAACAATTACTCGTCCCTTCTCCTTCTTACGTCCAAGATGCCACCATTGGCTAAACAAAAGAATATGCAGGAGCAGACTTGTTAATCGCAAAACCATTCCTTGGATTGCAACAAGGCAGAGCACTTATCCATGGAGTCAAGTCGATTATTGTACATCCGTATGATTGAAACAGTCGAGCTAGCTAGTAGGTTTAATTCTGTGTTAATCACGCTAACCTCTATCGGCGTAAGTATTTTCATTCGATCAGTCATCAATCGATTATCACCATAAATATTCTAGTC